TGAAGGTTTCTTTAGCTCTTTGGTGAAGGGATCTGTCCTTGTGGTGAATGGATATGTCCTTTTTTTCTCTTTCTTCTTCTTTTTTTTTTTTTTAATTGACTTTTGCTCTTTTGTCAAGGCTGGAGTGAAGCGGTGTGATCTTGGCTCACTGCAACCTCCACCCCCTGGGTTCAAGCGATTCTCCTGCCTCAGCCTACCAAGTAGCTGGGATTACAAGCACCCACCACCATGACTGGCTAATTTTTGTATTTTTAGTAGAGACAGGGTTTCACCATATTGCTCAGGCTGGTCTCGAACTCCTGACCTCGGGTGGTCTGCCCACCTCGGCCTCCCAAAGTGCTGGGATTACAGGTGTAAGCCACCGTGCCTGGCCCCTTTTTGTTTTTCAATCCATGGAGCAGAGGAAGAAGTTCTAGAAAAGTGACAAACAGGAGAATGTGCAGTTCCGGCACGGCCGTGTCTCCCGCTCCATGTTGCCCAATGAAATAATGGCGTCTTAGATCAAAAAACTAGAAAGCTATTGGTGGCATGTCTGACCTGGCCTTTGCAGGACACCAAAAACACAAATGACTATCAAAGACCCCTTACCAGGCACAGCTGAGGGAGGGGGAAGGGGTAGGTCGGCCTCCCAAGATTCAGGCATGAGGAAATTAAGTAGGATTTGTTATCCCCAGAGTCATCCCCATGATGGGCCAGTGAACTAAAGATAATCGCTAGGTGTGCAAGTGTCAGTCACCAGTTAATAAAATTGTCTTGGAGCTGTGGCTGCAAACCCAGGTGTACATTAGAATCACTGGAGGGAAGGGGTGATTTAAAACGAATTCAATGGGCTGGGCATGTTGGCTCTTGCTAATAATCCCAGTGCTTTGGGAGGCCAAGGCAGGAGGATTGCTTGAGGCTAGGCGTTCAAGACTAGCCAGAGCAATATAACAAGACCCTGTCTTTACAAACAACCACCACAAAATAATAATAATAATAATAAATAAACGCGCACACACACACACACACACACAATTCAATGCTAGGTCTCATTCCAGGATAGTTAAAGTAGAATTTCTGGGGACAGGGCTCAAGCAGCCCCTAGTCTTTTTTTCTTTTTTCTTTTTTTTTTTTTTTTTGAGACAGGGTCTTGCTCTGTCATCCAGTCTGGAGTGCAGTGGTACAAGCATAGCTCACTGCAGCCTTCAGCCCCTGGGCTCAAGTGATCCTCCTAGCTTAACCTCCTGCATAGCTGGGACTACAGGTGTGTACCACCATACCTGGCTAATTTTTTTAAGTTTTTTTGTAGAGACAGAGTCTTGCTATGTTACCCAGGCTGGTCTAAAACTCCTGGGTTTAAGTGATCCTCTTGCTTCAGCCTCCAAAAACACTGCAATTACAGGCATGAGCTGCCTCGCTTGGCCCCCATGTTTTTTAAAGCTCCCCAAGATGATTCTAATGTCCTGCCATGATGGAATTACGACCTGGAAGGAAGCAGGGCTTGTACTCTATCTCCTGGCAATACCCATCCACACCTAATCTGAATCCTCCCAACCTTGAAGGCACAGCTCACGTGTCACCCCTGAAAAACAACCATTACCGAGCCCTTAGAGGGTGTAAGATAATGAGTTACCCGCTCTCGAGGACACAAATAAGAACAAGACAGTCTCTGCCCAGACAGTTTATAAATCCAGGGAGGGAGAAAGCAAGTGTCTCCTACAGAGGGAGAGCTCAATCAATATTTATAAAATAAAAGAATGAATAAATAAGTGAATGACTTTACAATAATAATACAGTAAAAATTAAATACATGAAAACAGAGAAGCAAGTATTATGCACAGAAGAAGAGATGATTGATGGGATGAGGGCTGGGGGAGACTGTAAAGGTGGTAGCATTTGAATTGGGTGTTGAAGGATTGGTAGTAATAACATGTAACATTTGTTCAGAGCTTTAAAGTTGACAGGTGTTTTACATGCATGAACCCATTTAGTGCCTTTCTATACTGCTTGAGGTTGGCATTGGTTGGTATTTTAGTCCCTACTTTAGAAGTGAGGAAAAGTCAAATGAGCTAGCCAAGGTCATGTAGCTGGTGAGGAAGGGAGCCCAGGTCTCAAGCCTGGAATCCATTGTCTCTCCATAACACTGCTGTGGACTCGGGACATTCCTCTGGGGGAGGGACATTACAGGCCAGGAAAACAGCATAACAGAGACATGGATGTGTCATTCTGAGCATGTAGTTTATACATGGAAGGGTGATTTTTTTTTAAGGAGCCTTCCTTTTAGGAAGAGTATTGTGAATGCAAGAAGGTTTGGCTGGCATTAAAATGAATGAAACCATGTCCTTTGCAGCAACATGGATGGAGCTGGAGGCCATTATCCTAAGTGAACTAACTCAGAAACAGAAAGCTGTTCTCACTCATAAGTGGGAGGCGAACATTTAGTATACATGGACAGAAAGATGGAAAATAATAGACACTGGTGATTCCCAAAGTGGCCAGGGAGGGAAAGGTTGAAAAACTACCTATTGGGTACAATGTTCAATATTTAGGTGGCACGTTTACTAGAAGCCTAATCCTTACCATTATGCAATATACCCATGTCATAAACATGTACATGTACCCCCTGAATCTAAAATTTTTAAAAAAGAAGGGGCCCAGTGCAGTGGCTCATGCCTGTAATCCCAGCACTTTGAGAGGCCGAGGCAGGAGGAGGGCTTGAAGCCAGGAGTTTGAGATCAGCCTGGGCAACATAGCAAGATCCTGTCTCTACAAAAAAATATAAAAATTAGCCAGGTGTGGTGGTGTGCACCTGTCATCCCATCTACTCAGGAGGCTGAGGTGAGAGGATTGCTTGAGCTCAGGTTACAGTGAGCGATGATCACACCACTTCACTCCAGCCTGGGTGACAAAGCAAGAACCTGTCTCTAGAAGGAAAAAAAAAAAAAAAAAGGCTGGCTGGGAGAGCTGAGATGTTGGTGAAGGTGTCCCCAGAGACCCCTGAACCCCAAAAATCATTGTTAACATTTTTCTTGAGACTTTTGTCACATCCTGCCAGGTATTCTTCTTGGATGAATTTGTCTCATCTCTCCTCCTATATGATAAACTCCTTGGCCAGTCACTGGCCACATTTGTATTTAAATTTCTCTAAAACTCAGTCAGGGTGGATGTAGGTTTTGTGGATCCTGTAACTTACACAATTTGAAAAGCCTTCTTTAAGAAAAATAATTAAAATTATAAGCACCAGATTTGGTACAAAATGAATATTTATTTAGAATGAAGGAAGAGCACACTGCCAATTACAAATTTTAAAAACAGACAAATACAACAAAACCAGGAAAATAATAGATATGTTTATTTCTTAACTACCTGACACCCCTTTGTAATACATTTTTAACCTCCAATTTTTTGGCCACATAAACCTTGATTGCCTTTTGAAATGATTTTTAAATTTGTAATACCATTTTTGATAGCAAGCACGGTCGACTAAAACTAGTTTCGTATTATTGAGGGTTTGCAAATGTTTATTTGAGCATCATAACTTGTTAATAATGATGTTATGTTCATAAAGTTAATTTATTTGATTACTATAAGATTTGGAGACATTTCTTGCACAGGGACGAATTTCAAATACTCTTTGTCTTGATGACTCTGAGAGACAGGAAAAAAGGAAAATCACACATCACTCAACACAACGCTTCTGACATCAGATGTGTAGGATGTGGAGGGGGGCGTTTCCCCCACACACGAACCAAGCAATTCTCCAGCAGACACCAACTGGAGGTCCTATAATTCAATTCAATTCAGTTCTGATGCTATCTATCTGAAGACAATTTGCCAGAACAGCTCGCAGAACTCAGGGAAATGTTTATGTTCACCTATTTATTGCAAAGGATATTACAGAGGATAGAGATGAACAGCCAGATGGGAGATGGGCATGAGGCCAGGCATGTGGGAAGGGGCGGGGAGCTTCTGCGCTCTCTCTGGGCTTACCACCCTCCAGGAACCCCAGCGTGTCCCACTATCCAGAAGGCGCCTGAACCCCGTCCCTTAAGGTTTTCATGGAGGCTTCATGACATAGGCGTGATTGGTCACATCATTGGCCACTGATGATCAACTCAACCTTCAACCCCTCTCCCCTGTCTGGAGGTCGAGGGTTGGGCTGAAAGTTCCAACCTTCTGAACACATGGTTGTTTCCCCGGCAACCAGCCCCATTCTGAGGCTGTGCAGGAACCAGCAACCACCAGTCATCATATTAACCTACAAAAAGACACAGTGCGGCTGGGCGCGGTGGCTCACGCCTGTAATCCCAGCATTTTGGGAGGTTGAGACAGGTGGATCATCTGAGGTTAGGAGTTCAAGACCAGCCTGGCCAACATGGTGAAACTCCATCTCTGCTAAAAATACAAAAAATTAGCCAGGTGTGGTGGCAGGCGCCTGTAATCCCAGCTACTTGGGAGGCTGAGGTGGGAGAATTGCTTGAACCCAGGAGGTAGAGGTTGCAATGAGCCGAGATGGCATGGCTGCACTCCAGCCTGGGCAACAAGAGTGAAACTTGGTCTCAAAAAAAAAAAAAATCACTTTGGAGATTACAAAGGCTTTTAGGAGCCATGTGCAGGGAGATGGGGAAATGTAATATATATGTCTTACTATAAATCACAATTTTACAATGACCCTCATTTACCAATGTGTCATAGATGTTCTCGTTGCAGTAGTGTTGTATCCTTCATGGTTTTTTTTTTTTTTTTTTTTTTTTTTTGAGACAGAGTCTTACTCCATCACCCAAGATGGAGTGCAGTGGCACGATCTCGGTTCACTGTAACCTCCATCTCCTGGGTTCAGGTGATTCTCCTGCCTCAGCCTCCTGAGTAGCTGGGATTACAGGTAAGCACCAACACACTGGCTAATTTTTGTATTTTCAGTAGAGACAGGGTTTCGCCATGTTGGCCAGGCTGGTCTCTTAACTCCTGACCTCAAGTAATCCCCCTGCCTGGGCCTCCCAAAGTGCTGGGATTATAGGCATGAGCCACCATGCCCAGCCCCCTGCCGAAGGAAAATCTTGAGTTCCTTCAAGGGGAATTCTAGCCAGCTCTGAGATGTAAATGAGCAATTTGATAAGCAAGAAGGTAATAGTGGCTTAAAATGATAGCCAAGGAAGTTACAGTGAAGAGATGTTTGGTCCCCTACGGAAACTAAAGATAACATCTTAACATATGACCCCAAGTTGCTTTTCAGAAACCCAGACCCTCACCAAATGGATCCGCTGACACAGAGGCCTCAGATGAGGGGAAGCTGAGGCCTGAACCCTGACCCCCGTTGTTTGTTCTAAATTTCTTCCTGCGGGACCTGGAGGAAGCCATGCTCACAGGCCAGAGCTAACATTGTTTTCTATTGAACCCTAATTTTTAGACAAAGCTTTGCCTCCTGAACCAATTTCAAATCAGAAAACCTTTGAAATCAGAAACCACCTATGACCTGTGCCCCCAAGCCCCCATTTTTAGGTCAAACCAACATAGAGCCTCCATGCATTGATTTATGGTTGTGCCTGTAACCTCTGCCTTCCCATCTTTAAAAACCCCTCCCTGCAAGCCGTCAGAGTTCAGATCTTACGCATGAGTTGCCTGATTCTCCTTGCTTGGCGCCCTGCAATAACCGCTTGGCTTTCTCTCCCTGAAAATCCCCATGTCAGTGTTTGGCTTTGCTGCGTTGGGCGGGGGAACCCAAGTTTGATTCAGTAACAATGACACTTATAATGTATTAGGTTTATGAATTTAGCAAAAACATATGAGGATGCAAACACATTGCTGAGGCTTATCCAACACACCTTGGAAGAAAAACTGAGGCAAGAAAGGAGTTTGAAGCTTCAGTTTCATCAGCTTCAAAGTAAATCCACCTTTGAACACATTCTGGTGCTTTTGAGAGAATAAGTGCTGAATGAATGAATGAATGAATGAATGAATGCCTTTTTCTCATAATGTGGAAGCCTAGGCTGGGAGCTGAGATTACAGAACACTCCAAACAAGGGGCCTGCAGGGGCTCTCTTCCTAATATGTGTCCCAGGTTGGTGGGTCCAGCCCAGAATCAAGCACAGTATTCCAGGAGTTATCTGGCTCTGCAAGGTGGGCAGAGTGCACCTGTTGCCTTACTCATTCCAGGCCATTTGCCTCTATTAATCCAAGCTATAATTGCTGTATTGGGCTTTTTTTTCTTTCCTTCTCTTTTTGGCCAGCTACTCTTACCATGGATGCATACTGAGCTTGTAGTCAACTAAAACCTTTCAATGAGGCCGAGTGCGGTGGCTCACACCTGTAATCCCAGCAATTTGGGAGGCTGAGGCAGGTGGATCACCTGAGGTCAAGAGTTCGAGACTGGCCTGGCCAACATGGTGAAACCCTGTCTCTACTAAAAATACAAAAATTAGCTGGGCGTGTTGGCACACACTTATCGTCTTAGCTACTCAGGAGGCTGAAGCAGGAGAATCGCTTGAACTCAGGAGGTGGAGGTTGCAGTGAGCTGAGATTGCACCACTGCACTCCAGCCTGGGCAACAGAGTGACACTCTGTCTCAAAAAAATAAAATAAAATAAATAAAACTTTTCAATGTTTCACACTTGCTAAATCAGGTCTCTCTCAGGTTGTAACTGAGCAATTTAAGGTGCAAATGTATGATTCCATATTGATTTCAATTAAATTCCACAATTTTTTTTTTTTTTTTGAGATGGAGTCTCGCTCTGTCACCCAGGCTGGAGTGCAGTGCCGCAAACTCAGCTCACTGCAAGCTCCGCCTTGCGGGTTCACGCCATTCTCCTGCCTCAGCCTCCCGAGTAGCTTGGACTACAGGCACCCGCCACCATGCTCAGCTAATTTTTTGTATTTTTAGTAGAGACGGGGTTTCACCGTGTTAGCCAGGATGGTCTCGATCTCCTGACCTTGTGATCCCCCCGCCTCGGCCTCCCAAAGTGCTGGGATTACAGGGGTGAGTCACCACGCCCAGCCTAAATTCCACATTTTTATGCTTAGCTCACCACTCTGACCTCATGAGATGGATTTCACTATCCAGTGTGTCATCCAGCATAATGACTATGGCCACCCTTTCTAGAACATCCAAGTCACTGATTCCAAGACATCAGATGTGGCTCTGAGTGGAGCCCTGAATTTCATCCCCCTGAACTTCCACTCTGGCCTGACATTAATTCACCATCAATATCTTTTTAGTCCAGATGTTTAATCTATTTTGAATCCCTGTGGTTGTAATGCCATATAACCCAAATTTCAAACTTAGAAAGATATCAAATGCCTTGGTAGAATCTATGTATAGTCCAATTCAACAGTACAGATATTCCATCAAAAAAATTAAATGTGCCAGGCACAGTTGCTCACCATGTAATCTCAGCATTTTGGGAGGTTGAGGTCAGGAGTTTGAGACCAACCTGGCCAACATGGTGAAACCCCATCTCTACTAAAAATATAAAAATTAGCCGGGCATGGTGGCGTGCGCCTGTAATCCCAGCTGTTCCGGAGGCTGACACAGAAGAATCACTTGAACCCAGGAGGCGGAGGCTGCTGTGAGTGGAGATTGTGCCACTACACTCCAGCCTGGGCAACCAAGAGAGACTGTCTCAAAAAAAATAATAAATAATAAAAATAAATAAATTAAATGCAGTTGGTAGAAGATGCCTTTTTTCTTAGCACATCTATTCTTTTTCCTGTTTAGCGTCACTGTTTTTACAAGCACATGACACTGGCTTATCAGCATCTGATGTGGTTTGGATCTGTGTCCCTGCCCAAATCTCATGTCGAATTGTAATCCTCAGTGTTGAAGGGGCCTGGTGGGAGGGGATTGGATCGTGTGGGTGGATTTCCCGCTTGCTGTTCTTGCGATAATGAGTTCTCACAAGATCTGGTTATTTAAAAGTGTGTAGCACCTCCTCCTTCACTTTCTTCCTCCTGCTCTGGTCATGTGAAAGATATGCCTGCTTCCTCTTCACCTTTCATTATGATTGCAAGTTTCCTGAGGCCGCCCCAGTTATTTTTCCTCGTGTACAGCCTGTGGAACCATGAGCCAATTTTTTTTTTTTTTTTTTTTTTTTTGAGACGGAGTCTTGCTCTGTCGCCCCAGGCTGGAGTGCAGTGACCGGATCTCAGCTCACTGCAAGCTCCGCCTCCCGGGTTTACGCCATTCTCCTGCCTCAGCCTCCCCAGTAGCTGGGACTACAGGCACCCGCCACCTCGCCCGGCTAGTTTTTCGTATTTTTTAGTAGAGACAGGGTTTCACCGTGTTAGCCAAGATGGTCTCGATCTCCTGACCTCGTGATCCGCCCGCCTCGGCCTCCCAAAGTGCTGGGATTACAGGCTTGAGCCACCGCGCCCGGCCCACCATGAGCCAATTAAACCTCTTTTCTTTGTATCAATTAACCAGTCTCAGGTAGTTCTTAATAGCAGTGCGAGAACGGACTAGTGCATCTCATTAGCTCATCTGACTCATGGGTCTTTCCAGGAACAACTCTTTGCAATGGGTAATAATACATCTTCCCATGTCTTTTAAGGTCAATGATTCCAGAATGTATTCATATGCAATTATTAATGTCATAATAATACTTGGAGGCTGTGCAGTTTACAAGGCTCTGTCTTGTACAATCTCATTTAACAAAAAGCTACCTAGGAAAAAATACAAGAATTCTACTTTTGAAAAAGAGTAATGAACTCTAATTACTAATGCCCTGTCCAGCCCCAGGACATTTGACTCCAAAAATCAGTGAAATTGTACTTCCCAATTGAGCATTCTGAAATCCAGGTAACATGATACCAGGATTCTAAAAGCCTTCATCTCCATGACACAGTCTTCATTAGAGCACGAAGAGAGTTCTACAAAAATACTGATTTCCAAACTGCATGGGCAGCCTCTATTAGGAATTAGAATGTGTCTACACTGACCTTTCCCAAAGACCTATAATTTGCATTCAAATAATGGGATCAGATTGGAGACAGGATGAGGTGTTAAATAGAGTCAAGGAAACCAAGTTCAGAAAGTGGACAAATTGCGTGTTTTACAATAGGGATAAAGCTCCTCAAGCTCCTCAATCTTGAATTTGACTTCTTATTCACTACCTGGAGTTCAGTGTAGACTATGAGAAGAATGGATTAAATCAAGTAGAAACCTGGAAAATGTGGACTTCTTCGGAAGTTAAGAGCACAACCATTCGTGGCATGCTTCTCCTTCAAATGGGAAGGAAGTCAGATGGAGACAGAAAGCCTGGAGTTGCAGTCAGAAAAGAGGAATTTAAATTCCCAACTCTGTCACTTAGTGGTGGCCACTTTGGGCAAACCATTTCTTCCCTTTTGCTCGACATACATTCTTTCTGTAAAACAGGAATGATTCCCTGCTTGCTGGGCTTTTCCTGAGATGTCAGAGTCCCTGGCACCTAATCTAGTGGTTTTCAAACTTGGTCTCCGGACTGGCAGCACTGGCATCAACCTGGAACTGGTTAGAAATGTAGATTCTCAGGCCCTTTTCCAATTCTATTGAATCAGAAACTCTGGAGATGGGGCCCAAGAATCTGTTTCAACAAGCTCTCCAGGGGATTCTAGTGTATGCTAACATTTGAGAACCTGACTTAATATAATATCAGTAAACATTTATTTTATTTTATTTTATTTTATATTCAGGGGGTACATATGCAGGTTTCTTCCATGGGAATATTACATGATGCTGAAGTTTGGGTTTCTGTTGATCCAGTCACAAAGAGTGAATATAGTACCCAACATGTAGTTTTGCAACCCCTTCACTTCTCTCTCCCTCCGGTCCTTTGGAGTCTCCAGCGTCTGTCATTCCCGTGTTTGTGTCCATGTATACCTAGTGAATAGCTCCCACTTATAAATGAGAACAGGCAGCATTCAGTTTTCTGTTTCTGCATTAATTCCTTTAGGGTAATGGCCTTCAGCTGTATCTGTGTTGCTACAACAGACATGATTTCATGCTTTTTTATGGCTGCATAGTATTCTATGGTTTATACGTATCACGTTTTCTTTATGCAGTCCACTGTTTTTTTTTTTTTTTTTTTTTTTTTTGAGACGGAGTCTAGCTCTGTCACCCAGGCTGGAGTGCAGTGGCCGGATCTCAGCTCACTGCAAGCTCCGCCTCCCAGGTTTACGCCATTCTCCTGCCTCAGCCTCCCGAGTAGCTGGGACTACAGGCGCCTGCCACCTCACCCGGCTAGGTTTTTTTTGTATTTTTAGTAGAGACGGGGTTTCACCGTGTTAGCCAGGATGGTCTCGATCTCCTGACCTCGTGATCCGCCCGTCTCGGCCTCCCAAAGTGCTGGGATTACAGGCTTGAGCCACCGCGCCCGGCCTTATGCAGTCCACTGTTGATGAGCACCTACGTTGGTTCTAGGTCTTTGCTATTGTGAATATGGTTGTAAAGAACATACAGATGCAGGTGTCTTTTGGTAGAATAATTTATTTTCTTTCGGGCATATACCCAGTCACGGGATTGCTGGGTCAAAAGGTACTTCTACTTTTAGTCCTTTGAGTAATCTCGAAACTGCTTTCCACAGGGGCTGAACTAATTTACATTCCCACCAACAGTGTATAAGTAGGTTTTTTTTTTTTTTTTTTTTTTCATGCACAACCTTGCCATTATCTGGTGGAGTTTTTTGACTTTTTCTTAATAGCCATTCTTACTGGTGTGCTGTGGTAACTCATTGTAGTTTTGATTTGCATTTCTCTAATGATTGATGATGTTGAGCATTTTTTCATGTTTGTTAGCCACTTGTATGTCTTCTTTTGAAAAGTATCTATTTATGTCCTTTGCCCCCTTTTTAATGGGGTTAACTGGGGTATTTTTTCTTGTTGATGTGTTTAAGTTTCTTATAGAATCTGAGTATCAGTCCTTTGTCAGATGCCTAATTTGCAAATATTGTCTCCCATTCTGTCAGTTGTCTGTTTACTCTGTTGATAATTTCCTGTGCTGTGCAGAAGCTTTTTAATTAGGTCCCAGTTGTCAAGTTTTGTTTTGTTGCATTTGCTTTTGAGGTCAGTAAATGAGTCTGCATATGAAACACTGGATCACATCTGTGGTCGCTTTCCCACTAGCATACAGCTTTTGCTCTCTGCCACTGGGGATATAAGACTCTTCAAAGTTAGACTCCTGTAGGAGGACCTGTCACAATGGCCCACATTCAGAGGCTGCTATTACCAAGGGTACTAGTGGTTTACCAGGAAAGGCATGAGCAGGGTCATATACAATCCCTGATCCAGGGAGGTGTGAAAGTAGCTGAATCAGCTCTGCATGACTTGATTGTGCTGAGCCCTTCTTCATCCTCACTAGCAATGTCACAAAGCAGAATACATGCCAATCAACTCCTTGTTCTATTATATATGGGCCCTACAAGGAGTATACACTCTGCTGGGTCCCCAGCAGCCTCCTTTCTGATATAGGTTGTGTCTGTCTAATACTTTCTGCCCCACCTCTGACCCTTTAAATCAAGGCAAAAGTCAGGTATCAAGGGTGACCAACCATCCCAGTTTGCCCAGGACTGAGGGATTTCCCAGGAGATGAGTTTTTCAGTGCTAAAACCAGGGATGTCCCAGGCAAAACAAAACAGTTGGCCAGGCCGGGCGCAGTGGCTCATGCCCGTAATCCCAGGACTTTGGGAGGCCAAGGCCCGTGGATCACTTGAGGTCAGGAGTTCGAGACCAGCCTGGCCAACATGGTGAAACTCTATCTCTACTAAAAATACGAAAAATTAGCTGGGTGTAGTGGTGCATGCCTGTAACCCCAACTACTCTGGAGGCTGAGGCTGGAGAATTGCTTGAACCTGGGAGGCAAAAGTTGCAGTGAGCCAATATGGAACCACTGCAGTCCAGTCTGGGTGACAGAGTGGGACCCTGTCTCAAAAAAACAAAACAAAACAAAAAACAGTTGGCTATCCTACAGTGAGATAGCACACACTGCAGACAGGCTTCTTGAGAGATGTTTATCACACTCATCCCTGAGAAGGAGCAGGGAACCCTCTGATAAGCCTGCTGGGCCCCCCAAGTATGGAAATAAAGGAAAATCTTGAGTTCCTTTAAGGGAAATTCCAGGCGCCTAGCTAGCCCTGGAGAAGTGAGCAACCTAATAAGGAAGAAGAAACCCAGAAGAAACCCAGGCCCCACCAAATAGATCTGCTGGTGTGTAGACCTCAGATAAGGGGGAGCTGAGGACCGAACGTTTGCTGCTATTCTTTGTTCTAAATGTCTTCCTGCAGGGCCTAGAGGAAGTCACAACCACAGGCCAGGCTTTAACGTTCCTTTCTGCTGGCCCCAGGTTTTTAGACAAAGCTTCACTTCCTTAACCAATCACAAATCAGAGTCTTTGAATCTACCTCTGGCCTGCAAGCCTCTCCACTTCAAAATATCCTGCCTTTTTGGGCGAAATCAAAGTATAGCCTCCATGTATTGGTTTACAATTTTATCTGCAATTTCTACTTTCCTGAAATTTACCCGCCTTTAAAAATCCTTGCTTACAAGCCATCGAGAGGTCATGTCTTAAGTGTGAGCTGCCCAATTCTCCTTGCTTGGTGCCCTGCAAATAAATGCCCTCCTTTCTCCTGCTGCCAAACCTCGATGTGGATGTTTGGCTTTATTGCACTGGGTGAGGGGACCCCAGTTCGATTTGGTAACATCCTGAGTCTTCTCTGATCCAGACACATTGACTGACCAGAGCCCTGTCTTAGTCTTTGATTTCAAGCCTGTTTCTATTAATAGTTTTCTGGACCTGATGACTGTACTCTGTCTTACTGAGGTTTGACCATTGGTTTCCCCTACTACATTTTGAGTAGATCCACATCTCTGATTCTCACAGATGGTCTCTAAGAAAGCAATCCTGGCTGGGCACGGTGGCTCATGCTTGTAATCCCAGCACTTTGGGAGGCTGAGGTGGGCGGATCACTTGAGGTCAGGAGTTCAAGACCAGCCTGGCCAACATGGTGAAACCCCATCTCTACTAAAAATACAAAAATTAGCCGGCCATGGTGGCACAGGCCTGTAATCCCAGCTACTGTGGTGCTGAGGCAAGAGAATCGCTTGAACCATGTTGGCCCGGCTCATCTCGAACTCCTGACCTCAGGTAATCTACCCACCTCGGCTTCCCAAAGTGTTGGGGTTACAGGTTTGAGGCACTATGCCTGCCCACCTCTTGACTTTTTTAGTTATTGTATTATTTTAATCTTGAGTAAATAAATGCTAGCTGAAATGATGCAGTTCAGGAAAATCTGCTTCTGTTACTAAAAAAAAAAAAAAAAATTCTTACAAGTCCAATAAGGTTACGCTAATGTTTATGTTTGGAAAATATTACCTCTTCCGCCAGGTGCATCACTATTGTTCCTGCCCCTCCTCTCTGGCAGGACTTTGGAGGCCGAGGTGGATCACCTGAGGTCGGGAGTTCGAGACCAGCCTGACCAACATGGAGAAACCTGTCTCTACTAAAAATACAAAATTAGCTGTGCGTGGTGATGCATGCCTACAATCCCAGCTCCTCGGGAGGCTGAGGCAGAATTGCTTGAACCTGGGAGGCGGAGGTTGTGGTAAGCCGAGATCGCAGCATTGCATTCCAGCCTGGGCAATAAGAGTGAAACTCCGTCTCAGAAAATAAATAAATAAATATAAATAAATAAATAAATAAATAAATAAATAAATAAAGATTTCTTAAAATTATATTTTCTATATTTTATAGATGTGAGTGTGAGTAGCAATCTTAACAGGACGTTACCTGATACTTGTGGGACTAGAAGATGACAGTGGCAGTTGATTTGATCCAGATGTCTCTAACTCTTTTTTTGTTTTGTTTTGTTTTGCCTTTTTTTGTTTGTTTGTTTGTTTTTGGAGACAGAGCCTTGCTCTGTCGCCCAGGCTGGAGTTCAGTGGCACTATCTTGCTATCTTGGCTCACTGCAACCTCTACCTCCGGGGTTCAAGAAATTCGCCTGGCTCAGCCTCCCAAGTAGCTGGGATTACAGGTGAGCACCACCCACCTAGCTAATTTTTGTATTTTTAGTAGGGACGGAGTTTCACCATGTTGGCCAGGCTGGTTTCAAACCCCTGACCTCAGATGATCTGCCTGCCTCGGCCTTGCACCTGGCCCAGATATCTCTAATTCTAACATGAGGTGTATTGGAGGATCATAACAGAGTGAGTTGCTGGTGTATCCACAAGGAAATGAGCATGGAACTCTCATGACAGCTGCCCTGAGTAGTGTGTGTGTGTGCTGTTCTTGAATATCTCACTGCTCATTTATACACAGGCTTTCTGGTGACTGAGTCAACAGTATCTGTTTCATAAGTAATGTAGCCTTATTTATTTATTTGAGAGAGGGTCTTGCTCTGTAACCCAGGCTGAAGTGCAGTGGTGCGATCTCGGCTCACCACAACTTCCTCCTCCCAGGTTCAAGCGATTCTTCTGCCTCAGCCTCCCGAGTAGCTGGGATTACAGGTGCCACCACAACTGGCTAATTTTTGTTTCTTGTTTTTGTTTGTTTTTTGAGATGGAGTTTTGCTCTTCTTGCCCAGGCTGGAGTGCAGTGGCGCAATCTTGGCTCACCACAACTTCTGCCTCCCGGGTTCAAGCGATTATCCTGCCTTAGCCTCTCCAGTAGCTGGGATTATAGGCATGCGCCACCACTCCTGGCTAATTTTGTATTTTTAATAGAGATGGGGATTTCTCCATGTTGGTCAGGCTGGTCTCAAACTCCCGACCTCAGGTGTTCCACTTGCCTCGGCCTCCCAAAGTGCTGGGATTGCAGGCACGAGCCACCGCACCCAGCCTAATTTTTGTACTTTTGGTAGAGATGGGGTTTTACCATGTTGGCCAGGCTGGCTCAAATTTCTGACCTCAAGTGGTCCGCCTGCCTCGGCCTTCCCGAGTGTTGGAATTACAGGCGTGAGCCACCACGCCCAGGCAGCCCTATTTCTTTAAACCTATATATTTTGCACTTGTTAAAAGTATTTATATATACAATTATCCAGCTTCTTTTGTTTATGTATGCTTGAATTTTGTATAAGCTTAAACTTTTTTCCAATCTAAGCTTCATTTTATCCCCTTTCTTCTACATTTGTATAACTTTAGGTGACTGACTGTCTTTGTTTAAAGTTTTTTCTCAAAAGGCTTAAAATAGAATATAGTTCTTGGCATCAACTTGAAAGTTATTTGAGGAGAAAGGGAGATTTATAATGATGATTCAAATGAAGTAAACTTAAAAAGTAATGAAGCAAGACAGAGGAAAAAGCAGTATTCACTTGAGCACATCCCAAAAGAATAACATTTCAAATGTAACTAGAAAAAAGTTCACAATAGAGAAAAAAGGTCACAATAGAGAAATAATTATTAATACTCAAAATAGCTTTAAACCTCCACTCAACTTTTGAATGTTGGGAATTGACCCGGAGGCGGCTGTAACCTAAGATGGTTCCTTCAGTAATGACCATTTTTTCTTTTTCAAGATGATGATTATTCCCCACCTTCTAAGAGACCAAAGACCAACGAGCCACTACAGCCACCACTCTTGGAATCTGCCAATGCTGGGCAACGGAAAGTGAGGGAGTTCAACTCTGGTAAGTTCTCAGCGAAATCCACGACCTTTTCCTTTGTCTTCCGGACTGTCAATGTGACTGATGAAAGTTACAACATGCTCTGGAGGGGAAAATGCTTTAAAATGTATTACTACATTGTAATCTCATCTTTGTAAAGCCAGGAGCATCTTGAAAGTCCCATTACAGATATTGTTTAAATATAGTTTGTATTTACCAAAGCATAGGACATTGTATCATCTCATAGTAATTAGTTAGTTGGCTCAAAATTAGTGCTAATGACTTAGTAATTCAATGATTTCTCTTAGCTTTAAAACCTTCTTTATTTCAGAAACATTTCACCTCTTGGTTTTTGTTTTTGCTGTGTATCACTGCCTGCCAGCTGCTAATCTCTTAACTCCCAGTGGATCGTGTCCTGTGAAGGGACTGAACGAGATATTAGTGGCAAATTATGTTGATGATTTGTATTTTGAATAGATCATTAAGCTTGTATAGATTTTGAAAATGGTATTTTAATATTTTACTGTGTCACAGTCACAGTGATTGGATATCTGTTGAATTTATATGTACATTAAATTGTTATATGTTTATGTTCTTTAGTATTCTAACTTGCAACCGTATATCTGTTAAGTGGTTTTTTTTGTTTTTTGTTTTTTTGTTTCTTCTTCATGTTCAAGATCAGACTCTGATTCACTGAGCCATCTGTTTGATGCCAAGTTAAGTGGCCCAGGCTCTGTGTAGGGAGTGAGGTTGAAGCAGGAAGAAGGGTAATGAGGGGCAAAGGTGCCAAGAATAGGTTGGAATTCCCGGGGGTTCTCTGAGGCTCCCCAAGTTTCCCTGGCCCTGGCCAGCTGTGTTGCTGGCCTGGGCATCTGATGAGCCTGCAAGGGTGACTCCCAAGAGGTGGGTGGTCCAGGGGCTAGGGCAGGAACTTTAGAGTCATGCTGTTGGCTTTGAATCCAGATTCCTACACTTGGTAGCTGTGACCTCTCCATGCCTCAGTGACCTGGAGAACTGAACTCTGTCTGAGCCAGGTTCCATCCAGGCACTGCAGATCTATCCCGAGGAAAACTGCCCCAGGTTGCTCACTGTTCACTGCCAGCCTTATGCGATAGATCATTAAGTCTCAAGGGCTTTCCCAAGCAGATCCTTGTCTCCTTCAAGGCTCTCATAATCCAGTGGAGGAGGCAAAACTCATCTGCCTCTGTCCCTCTGGGCACACCTCATGCCAGGTGCATCTGTGGACACAGGCCGTGCTCCTGGGCTTCCAAAGTTGGAGAATGTTGCCAGGCTCAGGTGGGTACATCAGAGCAGCTGCTGCCCTCTGGACACAGTAACAAAAAACACTCTTGGCCTGCCGGGTGCGGTGGCTCATGCCTGTAATCCCAGCACTTTGGGAAGCCAAGGCGGGCAGATCACCTGAGGTCAGGAGTTCGAAACCAGCCTGACCAACATAGGAAACTCTGTCTCCAGTAAAAATACAAAAATTAGCTGGGTGTGGTGTCAGGCGCCTGTGATCTCAGCTATTCAGGAGGCTGAGGCAGAAGAATCGCTTGAATCAGGGAGGCAAAGCTTGCAGTGAGCCGAGATCACATCACTGCACTCCAGCCTGGGTGACAGAGTGAGACTCTGTCTCAAAAAAACAAAAAACAAACAAACAAACAAACAAACAAACAAAACACTCTGGGCCTGGAGCCCTGGTCTGGGGCATTGGGTGAGGCTCTTGCACTTCTCTGAACCTGTTTCCCCATATGGAAAGTGCACTGATTCTATCTCCCTGTGGGCACTGACAGCTCAGTGTTAGTTTGAGAGCCGGCATCTGGGGTTTGGTCTGTAATTCCCCTTTAGCCCCATAGCTGGGGGGATCCAGGGACTTTGTTGGAATACCCTAGGCATCAGGCTAGCTTCCTGCCCCTGGCTTGGGCTCAGCATTTGAAGTAGTCTGGGCAGCAGGTGGTCCTGGTGGGGGTTGGGGCTTTTCCCCAGACGGAGGTCACACCCAGAGCCAGAAATCTTGGTGCCTGCTCTGGGCTAAGAATGCTCCTGGCCCCCAGGGTGCAGGTAACTGCCCACCTTACCTGGTTTCTGCCTTCCAGGGCCAATCTTCAGACTTCGGGACTTCTCAGCCCACCCCACCTCCCTCTCTGGCCAGCCTTGAACCCTTGTGGGTCCAGCACATTTTCCAGGCTGTCTCCTGGTTGTCCTTCTGCCTCAAGGCCTGGCTCATGCTGCGCCCCCTCCCACTCACCAAGACCCGCAAGGACCACTCCACACCCAGCTCAGCCCCATCCCCTCAGATAGTCCTTTCTCTTTCCTCAGGTGGCCAGGTGCATATCTTGGTGTCAGGACCTTCACTGCACCTGGGAATGCCTACTGGTCACCTCGGTGACAGAGACCAAGGCATTTACTTGATATGACTGCCCTGGTTCACTGTCTACATGGCCAGGGAAGGGAGTCAATAATAGGCTTTTCACTTGCTGCAAGGGCCAGTTCTCCTGGCCCCACGGTCTAGGGATGGAGGACGCTACAGGAGACGTACCCCTCACTTCCCAGCTGAGGACTGTGGGTCGTCTCACAGGGTGATTTCACAGTCCCCACGTGCCCCACCCCCTCAGCTCTGCAAATACCAAGCAGCGCAGACTGCCTAGGGGACAGTGGGCTCAGGAGTGCCCAGATAGTCCCCAGAGTGCCCTTGGCAGGCCCCTCACCTAGCTGCCCCCACAGCTCTGTAGCAAGAGTTCTAAACTTTTTTGACTGTGGAGCCTGCTGAGAGTAAGAGCTGTGGACCATTTTCCCAGAAATGCATGTGCACGCTCTCAAAACAAAACCTTACATTGTTTCAGGAGTCTCACACCTTCCTAAGGGCCCAGTAATTGTATCCCTGGACCTGAGGGTGAGAAACCTTGCCTCAGTTCTTCCCCAGATGATCAACCCAGGAGTAAAGGGAGGAGAGGCCGGAAAGCAGAACCCATGGGAAGAGACTCCTCCTGGAGTTGGAGGCCCACTCCCTCCTGGCCTGCCTCTCCTCTGTCCAGAACTGCTCCCTGCTCTGCCTCACTCCTGGGGCCATGGCTATAGGGGTCTGTGTTCTGATACAAGCCCCAGCGGCAACCCTGGGCACAAAGTGGGCAGACTCACCTGGAGGGGATCAGAGTAACATGGGAGGAAGTGAAGGGGAAAGCCGCCCTGGAACCGCGCCTCTCTGTCCCCTGACATCACTGGGTGCACTCCTCCCTCCGCTCACTCAGGCAGTGGCATGAGTTCCATGGGAGCGCTGTCCTGCTCCCTCTGCTGCCTCTTTCTAGTCTTGGGGCTACCTTTCCCCAGCCCTGCCAACCCGGTGGGACATTGGGCTTCCCTCTCACAGGGTCCTGGGGACAGGCCTGTCCTGTATCATACCAACAGGGAGACCGTTTTTCTCTTCAGGGCCTGGGGAGCAACCAGGTTCCATGAGTGAAACGCAGATCTGAACCATACCAAGCTGGGGTTGGGGTCCACACTCTCCTCTACTGAGAAGGAGCTAGGGATTCCAGCTAGGTGAGAGGGAGAGTGGGCAGAGCCAGACCAGACCAGGACTGATCCCCTGGAAAAAGCCTGCCATCAAAGGCCTTGGTGAGTGCTGGGTGCGGTGGCTCACTCCTGTAATCCCAGCAGTTTGGGAGGCTGAGACAGGTGGATCACTTGAGGTGAGGAGTTCGAGTCTAGACTGGGCGACATCACAAAACCCCATCTCCTCTAGGCATGCTACACTCCTGTAATCCCAGCTACACGGGAGGCTGAGGCAAGAGAATCGCTTGAACTGGGGAGGCAGAGGTTGACGTGAGCTGAGATCTTGCCACTGCACTCCATTCTGAGAGAGAGAGTGAAACTGTGTAAAGAAAATGGCCTTGGCAGAGGGGCCGGCCCAGCAGTGCCTTCCCTTGGGTTTCTCCTGGGTAGGCCTCTGCCATGAGGAGATGCTTCTTTCTGCCTGTTCACAGCCCACAGCAAAGGAATGTCTGCTTCTAGGGGTTGGGTGGAAGACAGCTGACAGAACTGGAAACCTTCCTCCGATGGGTTTTTTTTTGCTTTTTTTTTTTTTTTTTTTTAAAAAAAGATTCTCGCTCTGTCACCCAGGCTAGAGTGCAGTGGTGCCATCTCGGCTCACTGCAACCTTCACCCCCCTGGGTTCAAGCAATTCCCATGTCTCAGCCTCCTGAGCAGCTGAGATTACAGGCATGTGCCACCATGCCCGGCTAATTTTTGTATTCTTTGTAGAGGCGGGGTTTCACCATGTTGGCCAGGCTGGTCTCAAACTCCTGACCTCAAGTCATCTGCCCACCTTGGCCTCAGAAAGTGCTGGGATTACAGGCATGAGCCACCACTCCCCGCCCCTTCAGGTGGGTTTTGAGGCTTCACTAGAATACTAGTTTCTAGTTGCTGCTGCAACAAATTACCACACACTTAGTTGCTTAAAACAACACAGATGTATTCCCTTAGAGTTCTGAAGGTCAGAATTCTAGTCAGTCCCACTGAGTCAAGGTGGGAACAGGTTTGGTGCCTTATAAGGCTCTCCGGGAGAATCCATTTCCTGGCCCTGGGGGCGCCTTCACTCCTCAGCTTTTGCTGCCCTTTTTGAATGACTCGTGTTTCCTGCTTCCATCACTACACCTCCCACCCTCTCCATCACCTGCTTTTCTCTTATAAGGATCCTGGTGAGTACATCAACCCTGCAGGGACAAGCTGGGATAATCCTCCCGGCCAAAGATTCTTAACTCCATTATATCTGTAAAGCTCCTTTTGCCATATAAGGTCATGTTCACCGATTCCTGGGATTGGGATATGGACATTTTGGGGGGTCACTATCAGCCTACTACAGCTAGGCTTCAAAACTATTACACCCTCCTGGTGTTTCAGGGATTGGGAGAAAAAGTGTTGGGGTTGGGATTTTTTTGCTTTTGCTTTGGGGACCCTCTTTTTTTCTTTAAGACAGAGTCTCGCTCTGTCGCCAGGCTGGAGTGTGGTGGGCGATCTTGGCTCACTGTAACCTCCGCCTCCAGGGTTCACGCCATTCTCCTGCCTCAGCCTCCTGAGTAGCTGGGACTACAACTGCGTGCCACCACGCCTGGCTAATTTTTTGTATAAATTTTTAGTAGAGACGGGGTTTCACCAGGTTGACCAGGATGGTCTAGATATTTTGACCTCGTGATCCACCCACCTCGGCCTCCCATAGTCCCAGGCATGAGCCACCACACTCAGCCAGGGTCCCTCTTAAACTTGTATTTTTAAGGTCTGGGTCACTCTTAACCTTTTTTTTTTTCCCTTTCTTTCTTTTTTGAGACGGAGTCTTACTCTGTCACCCAGGCTGGCAGTGAGATGCGGTCTCGACTCACTGCAATGTTCGCCTCCTGGGTTCAAGCGATTCTCCTGCCTCAGCCTCCTGAGTAGCTGGGACTACAGGCACCTGCCACCACGCCCGGCTCAGTTTTGTATTTTTGGTAGGGATGGGGGCAGGGGTGGGGTTGGAGGAGGGGGGTTTCTTCTCTGTTGCCCTGAGCCCAAAGCAATCTGCCCACCTGTGCTCCCAAAGTGCTAGGATTACGGACCTGCACCACCATACCCGACCACTGTAAAGTCTTATTTCCATACAGCTAAGACATGTTTTAGGAAGTTTGCTAACAGACCCCTGGAGACCTCCTCATTGTAGCCTTCCTGTTGTCGTGTTTAATTTGATTCATCTTCTCTGCCCTTCTGCTTTTCAGAAATTAAAAGACTTTTAGAGATACTAAACTTAAAACTTCTCTTACAGTCTCCTATTAAACTAATTCTAAGAACCACCAAAAAAGGGAAAAAATTTTTCAAAAGCAGTAAAATGATATGGATTGTTAGGATGTAAAATATAGGAAATAAGTCATTATATGTTAGTGTTGCTCTGACATAGGGAAGTATTATTGAGAATCAACTTTTGCTCAGTTTTCAGAGAAATGGAATAATCATATCGCTGATCTTCATAAACAAGTTGAAGAATTGTCTGAAAGAAAATGTGGTATGTCTAAACTGGGAAAAGTCCTGTAATCCTTTGTTCATGAGCTTTTACACAGTGGAGTTACTGTTCGTTATGGGGGTACCGTGGACAAGACCAGGGCTGCTGGTGAATCATGCCATCCATACACGTCTCTCCTTGTAAGGTGCTTTGTAGTGTCTGTCTAAATATTAGAAACATTCTTTGTTTCTAGATTACTGCAAAGCTAAGGAAAAGTTGTATTTCTTTAATTATCATTATCATTTCTTTTAAACTTTCAGCATGGATATTGGGGATTTACTTACATATTTGTTGCAAAGCCCTGGATCTTAGGGATTTAATAGAATTTTTTTATACTGTTTCTCTTAATCTGCTTTGTTAAATTTGGTATTCACCAAGATGCCCCTATTGTCTCTACTTTTATCTTTTTTTTTTTTTTTTTTTTGAGACAGAGTCTCGCACTGTTGCCCAGGCTGCAGTGCAATGGTGCGATCTCAGCTCACTGCAACTTCTGCCTCCTGGGATCAACCCATTCTCCTGCCTCAGCCTCCTGAGTAGCTGGGATTACAGGTGCCTGCCACCATGCCTAGCTAATTTTTTTTGTAGTTTTTAGTAGAGACAGGGTTTCACTATGTTGGCCAGGCTGGTCTCGAACTCCTGACCTCATGATACACCCGCCTTGGCCTCCCAAAGTGCTGGGATTACAGGTGTGAGCCACCATGCCCGGCCTCTACTTTTATCTTGATGCATCACCAAACTGATGTTAGATTTCAGATTCTTCTTTGCCTTATGCTATTCTATCCTGAACCCACCTTTATATGACGATGAAAGAAATTAGCAGTATGTTATTATCTATCTGTTGGTATATATCAAATGCTCACCTAAAAATAGCAACAGCCAGTGAAAAACATCATGTGCTTTGGTGTTTTTATTTGGATGACTATTTACTTTGCAATCTAGCAAGCTATAATATTGTATGATATGCAGAATTTTAACTGAATTGCTTTAAATGAACATTTAAACATGATAAACCATATTGATGGTATTTATGTTAATATACTTGAATATTTTTTCTTCATCATGAGTAATATAACATATCCCTCAATGAAAATCTAGAATTAGAGTAAATTTGCTAATGAATTCAAAAACATTTCCATAATATTTTTAGTTATGTGCTTAAGGTTCTGTTAGTGTTTCTCCCACGTTTTAATAGCTTATGCCTTTTTTGCCTTTGTTTTTTTATTGGTTCATTTTAAAGCAAAAACCTCACAACATGTGCTCCCTAGAAGCACTGTAACCTAATGGCAAGATCATAGGCTCTGGGGACCCAGGCTGGCCACATGTCTTCTCCTGTCAGAGCCTTAGTATCCTCTTGTAGTCACAGGAACTGAAGATCTATCCTGAAGATTTGATAAAATCTATCCTGAAGATTTGATAAGATAGTAAAGTAGTAAAGAGGATAGTAAAAGTGCTTCGCATAATATCGGGCATATAAATACACAATAAATGCTTCCTGACCTCAGGTGATCCTCCCACCTTGGCCTCCCAAAGTGCTGGGATTACAGGCGTGAGCCACCACGCCCAACCAAGAAATTCTTATGTAAAAAGAGTCTGGGCTCAGTGCCTCACAACTATAATCCTAGCACTTTGGGAGGTCAGGGCGGGTGGATCACTTGAGGTCAGAAGTTTGAGACCAGCATGGGCAACATGATGAAACCCCATCTCTACTAAAAAAAAAAAAAAAAAAAAAATTATCCAGGTGTGGTGGTGGGCGCCTATAATCCCAGCTTCTCAGGAGGCTGAGGGAGGAGAATCACTTGAACCTAAGAGGCGGGCATTGCAGTGAGCCAAGATCATGCCACTGTACTCCAGCCTGGGCAACAACAGCAAGACTCCATCTCAAAAAAAAAAAAAAAAAATAGACTCCATCTCAAACAAAAACAAAACACAAATGTGGTATTGCAATTAAAACAATTACTATGTTAAAGACAGTTTCATAGAAAATAAAAGACCACTCAGATACACTAAGCTGTGTTTTTAGATGGATATAATTATTATTCTTATTTAACAGCTAAAGAAACAGGCTCAGAGAATGTTATTTAATTGGACCGTGTTGCATCTCTGGACAGTGCAGCTGAGATCAGACTTCGTGTGTAACTCCACTAGCCTACCAGGGTGCTTCTCATAAAAGTAAGAAATGTAAATTTGACCTAATATACAAAGTTGCCATGGCAGCACTGGGTCAATTCTACATACACTACTTCTATGTTCATCAAGGGAAACATTAAGGGAAGGTAACAATGCTTCTAGAAGGTGACTGGACACCAGCACACTTGCTTACTGCGTTTGGGCTCTTCTTTAAGGCCAACAGTAACCTGAAATTATTGACTGACTATTCCAGTCAACTGGAGAAAATGGTACCAAGGTCGCCAACATCAGACAAATTCACTTGAGGATCTATCTGTGTACTTTGAAAGACAAAACTGCTTGTGAAGGATACTGTATTTCAGAAAAACAGAATCATATTAACAACTAATAACACTGTAAAATGCTGATGTGTTGAATGCTACTTTAGAAAAACATGTTCAAATCTAGGGAAAAAATTTCCAACAGAAAACTACGTATCAGTTATCTAGCTAGCTATCTAGAGACATGGTCTCATTCTATTGCTCAGGATGGAGAGCAGTGGGATGATCATAGCTCACTGCAGCCTTGAGTTCCTGGCCTCAAGTGATCCTCCTGCCTCAGCCTCCTAAGTAGCTGGGGCCACAGGTGGACAGAGGTACACCTGGCTTTTTTTGTCTGTCTGTTTTGTAGAGACAAGGTTTCACTACATTGCCCAGGCTGGTCTCAAACTCTGGAGTCTCGCTCTGTCGCCCAGGCTGGGATGCAGTGGTGCAACCTCGGCTCACTGCAACCTCCACCTCCCCGGTTTAAGCAATTCTCCCGTCTCAGCTTCCTGAATAGCTGGGATTACAGGCATGTGCCACCACACACAGCTAATTTTTGCATTTTTTGTAGAGACCAGGTTTCACCACATGGGCCAGGATGGTCTTGAACTCCTGACCTCAGGTAATCCACCGGCCTTGGCCTCCCAAAGTACCGGGATTACAGGCGTCAGCCACTACACTTTCTTATGTTATTAAATAGCCTAAGGCCGGGCGCGGTGGCTCAAGCCTGTAATCCCAGCACTTTGGGAGGCGGAGATGGGCGGATCACGAGGTCAGGAGATCGAGACCATCCTGGCGAACACGGTGAAACCCTGTCTCTACTAAAAAGTACAAAAAAACTAGCCGGGCGAGGTGGCGGGCGCCTGTAGTCCCGGCTACTCAGGAGGCTGAGGCAGGAGAATGGCGTGAACCCGGGAGGCGGAGCTTGCAGTGAGCTGAGATCCGGCCACTGCACTCCCGCCTGAGCGACAGAGTGAGACTCCGTCTCAAAAAAAAAACAAAAAGCCTAACCCAGGAAGGGTGTGGTGGCTCACAGCTATAATCCCAACAACTCTAAAGGCCAAGGTGAGAAGATCACTTGAACCCAGGAGTTTGAAACTGGCCTGGGCAACATAGCGAGACCCCTGTCTCTACAAAAAAATACAAAAATTAGGCCAGGCGTGCACCACTTCCGGCTAATTTTTGTATCATTTGTAGGGACAGGGTTTCATCATGTTGCCCAGGCCGGTCTCAAACTCCTAAGCCCAAGCCATCCATCCTCCCGCCTCGGCCTCCCACAATGCTGGGATTACAGGGCCCAGCCAGCCTCATGTTTTCTTTAAGCAGTCCCTCCGTGTTGCACACTTGGATAGTTTTCTTTTTTATTTTTTTAGACAGAATTTACCTCAGTCTCTCAGACTGCAGTGCTGTGGTGGGATCATAGCTCACTGAAGCCTTGAACCATGGGGTTCAAGCAGCTGGGGGGCTGAGGTGGGACTTCAGAGATGGGCTCGCCCCGTATTGTCCAGGCTGCTCTTGATCGCCTGGCCTGAAGGGATCCTCCCGCCTCTGCCGCGCATGAACATAGTTTCCTATTTTTGACCAACATAAACCCTGTGCTGAGTTGGAATTTCTCAACTACCCTTCTCCAGCAACCTACAGGACCTGGCGGGGATGTCCGGGTTACCGGGCTCCACTCCAAGGAAAAGACAGCCCTGCTCTAGGCACTGTACCGCCACTGTGACATCCTTGAAGGTCCGCCTCTATGACGCCGCCGAAGGCACCCCCGCTTCACAAGCGGAGCCCATCGGAACTCGAGGCGGGGCTGCTGGGTCTTCCAGGAGCGCCCAGACACGGGCGGGTGGCCACGGGTGGCCACAGGCGCTGGGCAGGATGGCAGCGGCCGCAGAGCGGGCCCTTCCACGTCTTCAGGCTCTGGCCCGGCAGCCACCACCCATAAGCAATGAGGAGGAGCTTTATGACTGCCTGGACTACTACTACCTGCGCGACTTCCCTGCCTCAGGGGCCGGGCGCAGCAAGGGCCGCACTCGGCGCGAACAGGCGCTGCGCACCAACCGGCCTGCACCTGGCGGGCACGAGCGCAAGGTCCTGCAGAAGCTCCTCAATGGCCAGCGCAAGCGCCGCCAGCGCCAGCTGCAGACCTGGCTACGCACTCGCCCCACCTGAGCCTGGGTAAGGGTGCCCAACACCTCCCCCAACCAGGGCCCGGGGACCCTGGTAGCGTCCCCCCATCGCGCGACGCTACTCGCCCTAGGCAGAATCGGCTGCCTCTTAGGGAACTGCACCCGCCAGCTTGGCCTCTGACGGCCGTTGCAATAGCATTAAAGCCTTTGGAACTTCGGAGGTGGGTAGAAGGGGCTAGGAAACGAAGACAACATCTTTTTAAAAATATAAGCGATTGATAGCTGGGTGCGGTGGCTCACGCCTGTAATCCCAACACTTTGGGAGGCCGAGGCGGGCGGATCACGAGGTTAGGGGATCGAGACCATCCTGGCCAACATGATGAAACCCCATCTCTACTAAAATATATATTTAAAAAGCCGGGCATTGTGGCGCGCGCCTGTAGTCCCAGCGACTTGGGAGGCTGAGGCACGGGAATCGCTTGAACCCGGGAGGTGGAGGTTGCAGTTAGCCGAGATTGCCCCACTGCACTCCAGCCGGGCGACAGAGAGAGAGACTGTCCAAAAAATAATAATAATAATAATACATATATATATGTGCGATCGAGCCCGGGAGGTTGAGGTTTCAGTGAGCCAAGATTGCGCCACTGCTCTCCAGCCTGGGTGACAGAGGGAGACCCTATCTCTAAAAAAAATATGCAAGTAAGACCTTTTCTTCCGGTGCTCATGCTCAGACTGAAGAAAGTAATTGGGCTGGGCCCAGTGGCTCAGGCCTGTAATACCAGCACTTTGGGAGGCCCAGGCGGGCGGATCGCTTTAGCTCAGAAGTTCCAGACTGGCCTGGTCAACATGGTGAAACCACGTTGCTACAGAAATACAAAAAATTATCTGGGCGTGGTGTGGTGCGTGCTTGCATGGCTGAGGCGGCAGGATTGCTTGAATCCAGGCGGTTGAGGCTGCAGTGAGCCATGATCGCCCCACTTCACTCCAGTCTGGGCGACAAAGTGAGACCCTGTGTCAAAAACAGAAAAACAAAAAACGTAACTGATCTGTGTTTTTGTCTGATTTCCTACAGGATACCGAAGGACCTGTTCAAAGTATTTTCTGTAACTCCAACTGTAACTTGTTTCTGAGGAGGAGAGAATCCATGTTTGGTCAACAGAACTTTTCCCTGTCACTTAAGTTTACTGCTTCCATATCTTTTCCTTACTTGATTGTTAATTAAGTAGTGTCCAAGTGGATTAGCCTTTCGAGGGTTTATTAATTAAAAGAGAGCAGCAAGAATGGCATTTTAACTCTCCTGGTTTTTTTTCAGTTACTATGGTAACTCTTTTCAAGTCCACAAATGATTTGTTCTTATCTGTAAAGAAAAGGTCACAAAGATAAGCAGAGAGAGACCAAAGATAGGAATATGTGTAAGATTTCTACCTAAATGTAGTTTAGGAGTACACTAAGTAATTCACTTCTGTAATCCCAGCACTTTGGGAGGCCGAGGCAGCCAGGTCACCTGAGGTCAGGAGTTCAAGACCAACCTGGCAAACATGGCAAAACCCCATCTCTACTAAAAATACAAATAGCCAGATGTGGTGGTGGGTGCCTGTATCCCAGCTACTCGGGAGCCTGAGTCAGGAGAATTGTTTGAACCTGGGAGGCCAAGGTTGCAGCGAGCCAAGATCATGCCACTGTGCTACAGCCTGGGCGGCAGAGCAAGACTACATCTCAAAAAAAAAAAAAAAAAAAAAAAAAAGATTTCTACCTAAAAATGTCATAGACTACTCTGAAGGTTAATATTTGCATATTATAATGTATATTGCATGGCGTGCCAATCTCAAATAATCAAAAGGGTCAGAATCTAAAGGGAGTTTATTCATGCACAGAGTTTTAGGAGGGCCACCTGGGAAGCACAGATACGGAAGAGTGGAAATCAGTGTTCCGAGGCTTAGAAGTTTGGGATCACTTACAAAGTTTAGAGAAGCTTAGCCGAATTAAAGCATCTCTCCGTTTAAGGGTTAATACATAGTTAATCTGATTAGTCCAGGTGGTCTTTCTTTCACTCTGTCACCCAGGCTAGAGTGCAGGGGCACCATAGCAGCTCACTACAGCCTCAACCTCTCAGGCTCAAGCCATCCTCCCACCTCAGCATCCCTAGTAGCTGGGACTACAGGCGCGCACCAACACACCCAATTAATTTTTGTATTTTTTGTAGAGATGGGGTTTTGCCACATTGCCTAGGCCGGTCTCAAACTCCTGGGCTTAAGAGATCCACTTACCTCAGCCTCTCAAAGTCCTGGGATTACAGGCATAAGTGACTCCACCCAGATGAGGTGGTCTTTTTTCCGGGAAAGGTGTGTTTAACCTTTCACACTGAATATGTAAGTCATGGGGTCTTTTGTGCCATTTGGTGTAAGTTAGGTACAGAACATTAAAGGAGGCAGTTAATCGCTAACAAAGATGAGTGATTGGAAGGCGAGGAGGTCTAGTCTCTGCTCTCTCATAGTCATTTACAGTATGAAAATAAGGGAAGAATAAATTATAATTTAAGAACCAGAAGTTACAAACATGCTATGCGACTCAATCAGGGTGTAACTTCCCCCTTGGTGTGATAAATTTATATGGGGTCCTGAAACTTTTTTTTATAGTTGCTAGGTTCTCCACACTATTGATCCCACAACAATTCTTCGAGGTAGATGCTGCTATCCACTTTTTTTTTTTTTTTTTTTTTTTTTTGAGACAGTGTCTTGCTCTGTCGTCCAAGCTGGAGTGCAGTGGCATGATCTTGGCTCACTGCAACCTCTGCTTCCTGGTTTGAAGCAATTCTCCAGACTCAGCCTCCCAAGTGGCTGGGATTACAGGTGCCCACAACCATGCCTGGCTAAATTTTGTATTTTTCATAAAGACCAGGTTTCACCTTGTTGGCCAGTCTGGTCTCAAACTCCTGACCTCAGATAATCTACCCACCTCAGCCTCCCAAAGTGCTGGGATTACAGGCATGAACTACTGTGCCCAGCCCACATTTTAGAAAAGAGATTCTAAGGCACAGAGAGTTCAAGTACCTTTCCAAAGATGACACAGCTAATTAGATAGCAGACCAGGTAGCCTGACCCCAGGACTTTTGCCCTTGGCCTCTATACTACTTTGTTGAACACAGCAGTAAATATTTCATATATAGTTTTATCCAGAATTGTCCTGTTGGTTGTGGTAAAACATGTTTTGTTCTTCTGAGACGGGGGCAAGCTCTGTTGCCCAGGCTTCTGGTGTGCAGTGGCACAAGCACCAGCCTCAACCTCTTGGGCCCAGACAATCCATTTCCGCCTCCCAAAGCACTGGGATTACAGGAATGAGCCATCATGCCTGGCCTCACACTAAACTTTTACAGGCAATTCACTTCCTTCAAACTATCGATAAGGAAATGATTCTGTTCTGTTTTGTTTTTACGTGTTTTTTGTTTGTTTGTAGAGACAGGGTCTTGCTTTGTTGCCCAGGCTGGAGTGTGGTGGTACAATCATGGCTCACTTCAGCCTCAACCTCCCAGGCTCAAGCAATCCTTCCGCCTCAGCGTGCCAAGCAGTTGGGACTATAAGTGCATGCTACCATGCTTGGCTAACTTTTGTATTTTTTGTAGAGACAGGTTTTCACCATGTTGCCCAGACTGGTCTTAAACTCCTGGGCTCAGCCATCCTCCACCCTCAGTCTCCCAAAGTGCTGGGATTACAGGTGTGATCAACTGCACCTGGTGATTTTGCTCATTTAGATACTAGAACTTTTTAATTTAAAAAAATGAGCTGGAGTGCAGTGGCATGATCTCGGCTCACTGCAACCTCTGCCTACCGGGTTCAAGTGATTCTCCTGCCTCAGTCTCTCAAGTAGCTGGGACTATAGGTGCGTGCCACCACACCCAGGTAATTTTTGTATTTTTAGTAGAGATGGGGTTTCACCATGTTGGCCAGTATAATCTTGATCTCTTGAACTTGTGATATGCCCGCCTCGGCCTCCCAAAGTGCTGAGATTACAGGCATGAGCCACCGCCCCTGGCCAAAAACACATTTTTTTTTAGATAGAGTCTCACTCTGTCCCGCAGGCTAGAGTACAGTTGCACAGTCACAGCTCACTGCAACCTCAACTTCCTGGACTCAAGTGATTCTCCCATCATAGTCTCCCAAGTATCTGAGACCACAGGTACACGCCACCACACCCAGCTAATTTTTTTGTATTTTGTCGAGGAGGGTTTTGCCATGTTGCCCAGGCTGGTCTCAAACTCCTGGGCTCAAGCGATCTTCCAGACTCAGCCTCCCAAAGTGCTGGGATTACAGGCACGAGACACTGCGCCTGGCCTTTTTAATTAAATTTAAATTATAAATGCGGTCACTGTAGGAAATATGTGTATTACTTATCTACTGCTATGTAACAAACTACTCCAAACCTAGTGACTTAAAATAAATACTTAGGGCCGGGCCCAGTGGCTCATGCCTGTAATCCCAACACTTTGGGAGGCTGAGGTGGGCAGATCACTTGAGTCCAGGAGTTCAAGACCAGGCTGGGCAACAGCGTGAGACTCCATCTCTACAGAAAATGCAAAAATTAGCCAGGTGTGGTGGTGCACAACTGTGGTCCCAGCTACTCAGGAGGCTGAGTCAGGAGAATCACTTAATCCCGGGAGGCAGAGGTTGCAGTGAGCCAAGATCACACCACCATACTCCAGCCTGGGTGACGGAGTGAGACTCTGTCTCAAAAATAAACAAATATAAAAAAAAACTTAGGATCTCCATTTCTGTGGGTCAGGAATTCTGGAGTGGCATAGCTGGGTCATTTGGTCTCAGGGTGTCTCATGACATTGCAGTCAAGCTGTCTACTGAGACTGCAGTCACCTAAAGCCTGTTTCCAAGGTGGCTCACTTATGTGACTGCTGACCTGAGGGCTCAGTTTCTGTCACATGAGCCTCTCTACAGGCTGCTTAGCTGTCATGGTGTGACAGCTGGCTTTCCCAACTGAGTAATCAAACAGTGAACAAGGAGGAAGCCACAGTACCTTTTATGATGTAGTTTGCAAAGTTGCAAACCATCACTTTTGCTTTTACTATCTGTCAGAAGGGAATTAGGCAACACAGCCCACACTCAAGGGGCCAGGGACTGGGCTCCACCTTTTGAAGAGAGTATCAAATAATTTGTGGACATATTTTAAACTACCATGCTATGTTTAATTACTGCAAGTATGGTCACTGTAGAAAAACTGGAAAATAGGGACAAGCCAAAAAAAAAAAATCACTTATAATTCCATGACTCAATGGATAACATTATTAGTTGGGTATATATAATTTCAATATTCAAAATATATATTTACTTTCTCAAAATATAAATACACTGTGTACTATCATGTAATCTGCTCTTTCACGCAATGTATGTATTGTAAAAATACCTTTCATGTCAAATATTCTTTCCTAATTTTTTTTTTTTTCTTGAGACGGAGTTTCCTTCTTGTCGCCCAGGCTGGAGTGCAATGGTGCAATCTCAGCTTACTGCAACCTCTACCTCCTGGGTTCAAGCAATTCTCCTGCCTTAGCCTCCCAAGTAGCTGGGATTACAAGCATGAGCCACCACACCCAGCTAATTTTTTGTATTTATAGTAGAGATGGGGTTTCACCATGTTGGCCAGGCTAGTCTCAAACACCTGACCTCAAGTGATCTGCCCACCTCGGCTCCCCAAAGGGCTGGGATTACAGATTTGAGCCACTGTGCCCAGCCCCTCATAACATTTTTTCATGGCTGCATACATTTCATCATATGTATGTATCGTAACTTATTTAACGAATTCTATTTTAGGACACTTAGGTTGTTTACAAGTTTTCCCTGTTGTATACATTTTGTTAAATGAACATCCCTACAACACATTTATTGGTACAATCATGACAGTTTCTTAAATTCCTAAAAGTAAAATTTCTGGAACACAGTTTGCGTAATTTTAAAACTTCAAATGCTTGTTACCTAATTTGAGCAGAAGGTTTACTACAATATTCAAGAGTCCATTCAGCCAATGTCATATCTATGATAACACCTGCAAAAGTTCAAATATTGGTAACTATAAGTAAATTTGTTGAGAGTGACTGAAATCACTATGGAATGAGAAGTTGCTATAGAAATTTTACTAAAGAGTGAACTGGCCAGGCGCATTGGCTCACACTTGTAATTCTAGCACTTTGGGAGGCCGCGGCAGGTGGATCACTTGAGGTCAGGAGTTTGAGACCAGCCTAACCAACATGGTGAAACCCCATCTCTACTAAAAATACAAAATTAGTCGGGTA